TGCAGTGGTGATGCCCATCTGGTCAACCATCTCTGTCCCCAATTGTGATTGACAGACAAGTGCCTTCCCTATGTCTCCTCAGCTTTACTGGGCATGCATCTATCTTATCTTGTTCAGTCCCCTTCCCCCAGTGTTTTGCAGGGAATAGACTGGTGGGTCCTGGGAAGTGCAAAGTTGCAGCTTTCTGGTGGAACTGCCCAAATGACATGCCTATAATATCTGGCTATTCCTTTGCTCCTTTCCTATATACACTAATCAAAGGGTAATATGCTAACTAGACAGGACATCTTCTGGACATTCTTCAGTACAAAGCGACAGTGGTGGGTTCTCAGCAGAGGCAGTAAGGAGCAATCAGGGCTGCAGGGGAGAGCAGTTAGGAGGCAATCAGGTCAGCAGGGGAGTAGGTAGGGGGTGTACAGGCTGCTGGTGAGCAGTTATGGGGAGATCAGGCTGGCAGGCAGAGGCAGTCAGGGGTGATCAGTGCGGCAGCCAGAGGAGGGTAGGGACAATCAGGCAGGCAGGGAAGCAGTTAGGGGCATCAGGTCAGCAGGCAGATGTGTTTAGGGTTGATCAGGTATGCAGGCAGAGGTGGTTAGGAGCGATCAGGCAGGCAGGCAGGTGAATGGTTAGGAGCCAGTGGTCCCGGATTGTGAGAGGGATGTCCCCCAAAGAGTGCCAGATTGGAGAGGGTGCAGGCCAGGCTGAGGGACCCTCCCACACCCCTATGCATGAATTCCATGTACCGGGCCTCTAGTTATTAATAAAAAGCTAATTACAGCAGTGTCAGTACCATCCATATTCACCTAATTTTTCGGTAGGTACATATGATTACACACAGACACACACACAAACACACACACACACACAGACACAAACACACACTCATTCACATACTCATGACTGGTACATTAAATGGGCTCTGATGAGATTTAAAACTTTTTTCTAAAGATTAATAATCTGATGTTTCTAGTCTTACTGCTAGACAAACCTAGAACTTGCATATTCTGCTATCATTCACACAAATGAGGAAACACTTGTGTTTCGAGTTCCTACGCCCATATACCTGGTTTGAATTTTTCTGACCTTCAGTTGAGCAGGAAGACCCTGATTGTTTTGCATATAAGGAGATATACCATGTGTCCCCACATTCTCCTATCATCTTGGTCTACTACTACCTTCCCTGAACATCTAAACAGCTGTGGAAAATAAACCAGTTTTTATGTTTGTATGTGACCTCTGTGCTTTTATTTCATACTCACTCTTCCCATGCTTCTCTCTCCCCTTCTAATGCTGACAGCCTGTGTGCAATACAGATTATGGGTCTGGCAGAGATGGGAGCCCTATCTTTCCCACAAGTAAAGGCATTGCCATAGCAGGCTCTTGCAATCATGGCTTGGAACAGTTATAAACTGGGTGTGGCAGGTTCTCTCTTTACTGTTGGTAGACTAGATGGCCGGCACCATCTAGTTGGAATACAGACAAATCACACCCTTTGGTACAACCACACTCCAGAAATAAACAGGCTTTGGGACCCAAGGAGACCTTATGGAAGAACAGAGGTTATATCACTGTCTCAAAACAAGGGTTTTCAGAAATAGAGCCACAATATCAGAGGGATTTCAAAGTCAACATGTCCTTTCCATGTACTGTCTAGGGAAAGAAAAGCCAGACTCAAAGACCAAAGGCTTAATCTTCTACAGTGGCAGGTAACAAAACAAAAATTGCTTCTCTTTTGGTATATTTGGAGAAAGAAGATAGCAAAATGGGGTAGAGGGAGGTGGAAAGGTTCCTTCTTAATGTGTGTTTGGGGAGATTGAATATAGTATTTACTTTTTCAGAGTTTCATACACACTTTGCCCTATTCTCCCTGTTTTCCTCCTTGTCTTTCTACCTTTTTCATACAATCATTTTCTCCTTCTCTCATTCTCCATCGCCCACTCTTTTAAACCTTCACACCAAGTAGTCCCATCTAAAAGTAAACAAACAGCCTAAGTGCCCGTGAGCAGATGAGTGGATTAGAAAACTGTGGTACACCTACACAAGGGAATACTACGCTGCTGTAAAAAGGAAGGAACTCCTACCATTTGCAACAGCATGGATGGACCTTGAGAGCATTATGCTAAGCTAAATAAGTCAGTAAGAGAAAGATAAATATCATGTGGTCTCACTCATTTGTGGACTATATTGAACAACATAAACTGATGAAAAAAACAGATTCAGAGACAGAGAAGCATTGTTCAGACTGCAAACCTCAGAGGAAAGACAGGGGAGAGAGGGGAAAGGGGAAGAGATCAACCAAAGGACTTGTAGGCATGCATAGAAGCATAACCAATGGACACAGACACTAGCGGGGTGAGGACACTAGCTGGTTTGGCTCAGTGGATAGAGCATTAGCCTGAGGACTGAAGGATCCTGAGTTCGATTCCGGTCAAGGGCACATGCTTAAGTTGCAGGCTCGATCCCCAGGAGGGGGTGTGCAGAAGGCAGCCGATCAATGATTCTCTCTCATCATTGATGTTTCTATTTCCTTCTCCCTCTACCTTCCTCTCTGAATTCAATAAAAATATATTCCTTTTTTAAAAAGGAAAAGAGAACGGTATGAGAAAAAGCTGGCCGAAGAGAGCCAAGATAAGCTTCACCCAAAACAAAAGAAGAAAGCTGAGGAGTCCTTGATAAATAACAGGCAACTAAAAATAAGGTTTAATTAGAAATGATAGCATCTGAACTGGTTGAGAAAAGCAATGTGGCAAAAAAAAGGTGCTCTGAGATTAACACCAGCTGCCCTAGTTTCACATAGTTCTCTGTGTACAGTGAAGTTTTCTGCGGCAAGTTGAGCTCCCGGGCATCTGTGGACACAGGCTTTGCAGTGGTCACTATCTAAAGGCTGAAATGTCCTTTCCCCTCAGGTACACATAAAATGTATTGCAAAACATTTTAATGCTTCCAGAAGAGACATGGCAAAGTGGGCATGAAATTAGCAGGGACAAAAATTCCATGACAACCATGACTCCAGCTGCTGTAAGTCAATTCCAGCATGTTCAGCAGAGCTGAATCATCTGGAGTGGCAAGGGCATTTCCCCAAACCTGAAAAGGGATGATTGATTGCTCCCAGACAGCTCAGGGCATCTTAATCTACATGTTATTGCCTCCTACTGGTCAAAGAGCTGAACAGCCAGAGGCATTTCCTCAAATCTGACAATGCACTGTGTATAGGAAACCCTACCCTTTGAAGTGTATATCTCCACCTCACCTCAGGACAATTTGTGTTAATAAAAAGCATGGGGTCCTGAGACCAGAACACCTTAGTTTCTTTAGCTAGGCTCCTCTGACCCCCAAATGCCTTTCAAAATTATATTTCATCTCTGGACTCTGACTTAATTTACACACAGCCTTTCCCCAGATTGCTGAACCCTTCTAGATGTTGGAACAAGAACCCTGGCATCCAGCCAGGTTTCCTGCTTGAGCAGTGTTTGGGGCACCATTTTGCAGTATACAGGACTATGCATTAGCTTCCCTGCCTATGCAAGGTGGGAAAACAGCCTTCAAGGCTGGCGGGCTCATTTTTGGCGTCCCAAACAAGGCAAAACTGTGCACCAAGCTCTCTGGACAGACAGGACCACTGGTCAGCTCTGTAGAAGGTCAAAGTCACTGGCTGGTCTTTTGCCTCAAGTGCTGCTGAGCTATACAGGTTCTCTGGCCAGGTTTTCTGGTCGGATGAGCCAGGGGATACATTCAGCAGTAGGTGGGGCTATGAGTTAGCTTCCTTGCCTGGGAAGACTGTGTTGGGGGCCCATAAGTGGTGTATTATAGTAAGAATATGCATGCCAAAACCGGTTTGGCTCAGTGGATAGAGTGTCGGCTTGCGGACTGAAAGGTCCCAGGTTCGATTCCGGTCAAGGGCATGTACCTGGGTTGCGGGCACATCCCCAGTGGGAGATGTGCAGGAGGCAGCTGATCGATGTTTCTAACTCTCTATCTCTCTCCCTTCCTCTCTGTAAAAAATCAATAAAATATATTTTTTTAAAAAAGAATATGCAGATTATGACCTGCTGAATGAACAGGAACAGTTCAACAACATCGGGTAGACAGGTATCTCATTCAGTATCCAAGCTCTCACTTTGGAAATGTAAGAACCCCTAGGTTGTTTTGATCAAAGGCACAGTTTCAATATACTCACATAAAGAAAGTAAATTACCAGATGTTTCACTGAGAGATGCTGGAAATTAGAATGAGCCAGGAGTTGGGTAGTTCTCCATCCCAGATCATGAGTGAGCTGGAGATAGAGAATCTTCCCTCCAGGACAGTGAAACATTTCCCCTTGTTTTCAGTGCTCATTGGAGGAAAAAATGTCACACATGAGAACTGTAATGCTATTATTTCACCTGAGTCAGTGATGCATCCTCTTGTCTCTTTCTGATTTTAGGAACAACAAGCCTATGATTTATGGAAGGAATATTACAGAGATCACCCATTGCATTCTCCTGGGATTCTCAGATTTTCCCAGAATCATAGCAGGGCTGTATGCTGTATTCCTGTTGATCTACATTATGACTCTGACTTGGAACCTGAGCCTCATCATCCTAATAAGAATCAACTCCCACCTCCAAATGCCCATATACTTCTATCTTAATAATCTGTCTTCATAGATATCTGCTTTCTGACTTCCACAGCCCCTAAGATGCTGTTGAACTTCTTTCAGGAGCAGCAAACAATAATCTTTGTGGGCTGTGCTGTTCAGTACTTTGTCTTTTCAACCATGGAAGTGAGTTAGTCTTGTGTCATGACAGCCATAACTTATGACGGATATGCTGCCATTTGTAACCCACTTCTGTATTCATCAATCATGTTGCCTAACCTCTACGTTTGGGTTGTGCTTGGGTTTCCTATTTGACTGGAATTTCTGTTTATATCCCAATTGTGTGTCATACTTCAGCTCCACTTCTGTGGGCCTAATGTCATCTACCACTTCTTCGGTGACATATTTCAACTGGTAGTCCTGTCCTGCACTGACACTTTCTTTGTACAACTCATGATGGCTATATTGACACTGATCTTTGGAATAGTAAATGTCCTAGTTATCATGACGTCCTATGTCTATTTTGTCTTCTTCATCATGAACATCACTTTAGCTAAAGACAGGTCCAAGGCTTTCACCACCTGTGCTTTTTATACCTCGGGTATGTTTGTCTACTTGCGTTCCAGCTCTGGTGTTTCCTCCAGGTTCAACAGATTTGCATTGGTCTTCTACGGTGTGGTGATTCCCACACTGAGTCCCTTGGTTTACATCTAAGGAAAAAGGAAATAAAAAATTCCTTGAAGAGGTTGCCAAAGAAGAGAGGGTATTACTGAGGTAAATAGTAATGAGGTTTTTGACAGATTTATCTCATTGGAATCACTTTAATCCACAATAATATGCACATTAATGGAGTGTAGTAAAAATCATACCAGCTTCGAACAAAGAAGACTTAATTAGGCACAGATAAAATGACCAAATGGAACCACAGCTGACTGGTGGCTACACAAACCCAGTATCGTTAAGTCCTGGGGATTCATTAATTTCCCCTACATGAGCAGTATAGGGGGAAATTTATTTCACCATTTATTAATCTACCTGAAAATATATGTGAAATATCAAGGTTTAGATACTTGTTGCTTCTTTTTTGACTCTGAGATTGATCTCAGTTCCATCTCAGGCCTCTGAGCTTAAAGGAGAGATACTCAGCAGAGGCCCCGAGGAATGTAGAAACCTTGTCTTCCAAATATTCTGATGGAGCATAGTCCAATGTTTGTTCTGTTTCTGACCATAATGGAAATAGATAGAGAGAGGGGAAATGTTTTCGTAACGAAACAAATCTATACAATTGGCTTAGTTGTGCCTCCTAGAAAAACGTGGCATCTTTTAGTGCTAATAATCCAATATATTTTTTCGTCACATCTCAGTCTCAACCAGCTATAGTCTAAGCAGGAGGAGGTGATTTGAATCATAAAGAGGAATGCAATGAAGTATGTGGTTCCTTCAGTTCCATTTACTTGAGTCCAAGGATATAATTTCTTGCTTCTAGTGTCCAGTGCTGATTTCTAACGGGGGAGGATATTCAAAATCCATGTCAGAGCCAATAGCAATTTCTGATACTGTGGGACTCAAACTTCTTTTTGTCTCCCCCATTAAGTCTTGAAATTTACCCTTGGTTTTATAGTGCATTGGATTACACTGCCAAGTTATTTCTGATACTTTAACCATTTGTTCAATTTGATGTGAGGAAACTTGTGTGGGAACTCATTGTAATAACAGAGTTACTGAATATTCAATATTGGAAAGACTAAGAACAAAGAAGGAAAACTGCCATAATTCTTTTCTATAGATTGTGTTCAATGGTTTATATCCTAGAGATTTGTGGTTGTATGGAGTGATATGATGGATGGAGTAGAATGGTTATAGCTATTTTAATGCTGATATTTTTCAGGAAACCTCAATGGTTATGAGAGGAAATCGATAGTGGTATAGGCAGGGTTCTTATCTCTGGCCAGTTATTGGTATCTGAGGAGGAAATAAAGCTCGTGGTCATAGTGGTCTGGTTAAAAAGAGGAACAAGATTTGTAACAAGATTTGACAGATTGTCCATACTTGAACAAACTGATATAATGTAGATATTATTATATTTATATATAGTACTTGTAGATTCATTGGATTTTTAATCAATGTTTTGGGGGTTTCAATTTTAACGAGTCACATGAATTACTCTGTTTAATTAAGGATTGTAAGTAAAAAAGTAGTTGAAACCTTTGCTAAATCTTCCATGAATTTCCACATGTACAGGATTGAGAGAAGGGGATTGTTGAACCTCTGGGAGGCAACATGTGGGTTTAACACATGCCAGGGATACTGTAATATGAATTAAGGATATTTGCTTAACCACCCCATCCAGGTATAGGTGTGTTCTTTGACGCATTGCTCTTTCAAATGTGTGAAAATGTATGGGATGCCCTTCCCCAAGGGGCCATGAGGGTTTCAAACTTTGTTAGATATTAGTGGGGGATACTTCCACAGTATTTCACAGATGTACCTCTTGATGGGTTCGGATGTGCTCAGGGAGGTAATGAATAGGAACTGCTGATGTTAAATAGAAATTAACATTCTGAGACTGCTGTGCATGGGTGAGGTTGCTGAGAACTGCTGTCTTCCAGGAACTGTCTCCATGGGCTTCTGTTGAGAACAATTAGCTAGAGCTACTGATGATAAATGCCATTAAATTACTAATTTAAAGAAAAAAATGGGGAAAATAAAACACAGTTATTCTGACTTTCCCCTGAAGAACATGTAGACCAATGGGTACCTTGTGAATGGGATAGTTTTCTTTATTTCTTTTCAGATGTTTGGAAATGCAACTAATTTCTCTATGTTGATTTTATATTTTGCAACTTTACCGAATTTACTTTCTAATTCTAACAGCTTTGGCGAAGTGTTTAGGATCTTTTATATATATAAAATCACCACAAGCGAATACATAATTTTACTTCTTTTTTCCCCAATGTGGATGCCACTTACTTCTTTATCTTGCCTGATTGCTTTAGTTCTATGTTGAATAAGAGTGGTGGCAGTGGCTATCTGTATCTTGTTTCTGATTTTAGAGGAAAAACTCTCCGTCTTTTCCCATTGAGTATGATGTCAGCAGTTGGTTTGTCATATATTGCCTTATTATGTTGAGATATGTTTCTTTTATACACAAGTTATTGAGAGTTTTTTTTTTATCATGAAGGAATGTTGTGTTTTGTCAAATGGTTTTCTATTCTATTGAGATGATCATGTGATTTTTATCTGTGATTTATCAATGAGTTATCACATTTATTGATTTGTGTATGTTGAACCATGTAAAAATTTTTTTTATTGATTTCAGAGAAGAAGGGAGAAGGAGAGAGAAATATAAACATCAATGATGAGAGAGAATCATTGATTGGCTGCCTCTTGCACGCCCCATCCTGGGAATTGAGCCTACAACTTGGGCATGTGACTTGACTGGGAATCACACCATGACTTCCTGGCTCATAGGTCAATGTTCCACCTCTGAGCCACGTATGCCAGTCTATTGAACCCTTTTTTCATCCCATGGATAAATCCCAGTTGATAATGGAGCATAATACTTTTAATGCATTATTGAATTTTATTTGCTTATGTTTTGCTGAGATTTTTTGCATCTATATTCATGAGGGATATTGAGCCTGAGTTTTATTGCTTTTAGTTTTCTTTCTTTCTTTGGTATCAGGGTAATATTGATCTCATAAAATGTGTTTGGGACACTTTCACTTTCTAAAGATGTTTATTGCTGTTAACCTGTAAGCATTATATGTTGGGTGTGTAGAAACATAACTTATTTAGTTCACATGTTTCCAAGCCAAGAAGAACTATAACATTATTAAGAGAGTGGTAGGGATCCCTCAAAGATTCAGTCCGAATTGGTGAAGATACTAATATGACCCCAGTTTGGTAAAAATCCTATCTAATAAAAGAGAAACATGGTAATTAGCCATAACTTCGCTACCCTTCCCATTGGCTAATCAGGCAATATGCAAATTAACTGCCAGCCAAGATGGCGGCCGGCAGCCAGGCAACTGATGCGAACAGGAGGCTTGCTTGCTCCAGTGACGGAGGAAGCCAACGTTTCCCGCCTGCTGCAGCCCAGCTCTTAGCTGCTGTCTAAGAAACATTGTTACAAATATAGAAGCTAAACAAAACCCCAGGAACCTGCTTTCAGTCAGCTGGGATCTCAGAGCTGGAGTCGCAACAAAGTTTCAAATACAGAAGGTAAACAAAGCCAGAAACCTGCTTTCAGCAGCCTCGGTCTGTGCTAAAGCCGGCTCTCAGCTCCAGTAACAGCCATAGAAGGTAAATAAATCCCAGAATTAAAAAAAAGGAAAAAAGGAAAGGTTGGGAGGAGCTTCAGTCACCCGCCAGTCTGGAAATGGCCCTCAGTCCCTCACCCAGACTGGCCAGGCACTCCAGTAGGGACCCCCACCCTGAAGGGGGTGTGACCAGCTGCAAACAACCATCATCCCCTCACCCAGGCTGGCCAGGCACCCAAGCGGGATCCCCACTCTGATCCAGGACACCTCAGGGCAAACCAGCCAGCCCTCACCCATGTACCAAGCCTCTATCCTATATAGTAAAAGGGTAATATGCCTCCCAGCACTGGGATCCGCGGAGCCATGAGGCCTCCCAGTACTGGGATCAGCGGAGCCGCGAGGCCTCTTAGCACCGGGATCAGCTGAGCAGTGAGGCCTCACTGCCCCTGTGTCAAGCGGAGCCCCAAGGCCTCCCAGCACCGGGATCAGCGGAGCTGCGAGGCCTCCTGGCCTGGGATCAGCAGAGCCACGAGGCCTCCTGAATCTAGGATCAGTGGAGCTGTGAGGCCTCCTGGCACCGGGATCAGTGGAGCAGCGAGGCCTCACTGCCCCTGTGTCAAGGGGAGCCGCAAGGCCTCCCAGCACTGGGATCAGCAGAGCCATGAGGCCTCCTGGCCCCTGGAGCAGTGTGACAGGGGGCAGAGCCCAAACCCCCTGATCACCCTGCAGCTCTGTGTGTGACAGGGGGAGGGGCCACAACCTCCCTATCCGCCCTGCTCTGTTCGTGAAAGGGGAAGGCGCCCCAACCCCCTGATTGGCCCTGCTCTATGCCTGACAGGGAGGAGCTCCCCAACCCCCTGATCGGCCCTGCTCTGTGTGTGACAGGGTACAGTGCCCCAACCCCCCTGATGGGCCTGCTCTGTGTGTGACAGGGTACAGAGCCCCAACCCCCTGATCGGCCAGCTCTGTATGTGACAGGGGTGGCGCCACAACCCCCCAATCGGCCATACCCTGAGTGTGACTGAGGGTGGCATCGCAACCTCCTGATCTGCCCTGCTCTGTGCATGACAGGGGGCGGTGCCCCAACTGCCCAATCGGCCTTGCTCTGAGCCCAACCAGGGGCTGAGGGGCAGGCACCTAGGGATTGGGCCTGCCCTCTGCCACCTGAGAGGGGGCCTAAAGCAGCAGGTCGTTATCTCCCAAGGGGTCCCAGACTGTGAGAGGGCACAAGTGGGGCTGAGGGATACCCCCCACCCCCGCCAGTGCACAAATTTTTGTGCACTGGGCCTCTAGTACTATATAATAAAAGGGTAATATGCAAATCAACCAAATGGCAGAACGACCACTTGCTATGATGCACACTGACCACCAGGGGGCAGACGATCAATGTGGAAGTTGCCTCCTGGTGGTCAGTGTGCTCCCACAGGGGGAGTGCTGTTCAACCAGAAGCCGGGGCCTGTGGGGAGCAGGCCTAAGCTATCAGGCAGACATCCCCTGAGGGATCCTGGACCGTGAGAGGGTGCAGGCCGGGCTGAGGGACCCCCGGAGTGCATGAATTTTGTGCACTGGGCCTCTAGTATGAACAGCAAAATGGAGAAATTACAATGATAATATTAGTAATAACAAATTTATAACATTTTAAGTGCTTCTATGCACTGGGCAGGTATTATTTTATCTCAGTTCACCACAACCCTTTTAGGTAGTTGTGCTATTATTGCCTTCATTTTACTACATAACCAAGGCACAGTGAGATTAAGTAAAAAGTCAGGGTCACAGAACTCATAACTAATTAAGTTAGAATTCAACCCAGGTAGGTCTGTCCAGAGCCTGAGCACATAATCACCAAAACCATAATGAATGATTGTCCTGATAAAGACCTTAAATTTTGGGTGACCACACAACCTGGTTTGCTTGGGACAATTCTGCTTATTGTCCTGACATGGTTATTAATAACTCTCCTTTTCATGACCAAAGTTGTTGAGTTTGGATAATGAATGATATGATCACCCTGTGTTGAGAGTTCCTCCCAATGTCATAATACTGAAAGTCTAGAAAGGAAAATTGGAACTTGCTTCAATTAGGTCATGAGGGCACATGAAAATGTGCAGAAATGGAATCAGCTGGGAGCATTTCTCATTTTCTCCATCCATCACTCTAGAGAGCAATTAACTTAAAATGGTGCTTTCTGTTAATTGTCTCTTCTCTTTCCACACTGGACCCAAGGAGACACTTAAGAGAATCCTTATTTGGAAGTACCTCTCTGGCAGCAATGGCTAGCAGGAACCATGGCCAAAAAACCCGGAGCCTAGGGGAAGTAAATGTCTTCATCCTGAATGCTCATATGATGTCTATAGCCTCTAATTCCTGGAAGCACTCTATGCACATTTAGATACCTGGAGTGCAGTCAACATTCAGGTCCAGCAGAAGGCAGCTGTGGGGGCAGCACCTCCCAGATTTCTACAAGACATCTCTTGAGATATCTACAAGAATACCTGGGTGAGTGAAATAGAAATAGCTTTCTTTCTTCATATTTGGGTTCTCTTTCACTCTTGCAATGCCGTTCTTCTGTGCCCTCAAACCAGAAAGCTCATGTATTCAGATTCAATGACCATTTTAACTTTTCATTTTCTCACAGAGGCCATGCTCCATATCCTCTATCCAATGGGATTCTTTGAATTTTAACAGAACTCCAGGTATTTGAATGAAAAGAAAACCATCTAACATGGAATTTCAGGCATTAGTAAGTAGGTGGAGTGAGGAATGGAGGGCATGGAGATTTGCTGATAGCTCACCAATTGGGCCAAAGAGCTCTACATTTTAACCATCAAAAGATCTATTTTCCCCCCTGTAAAATATTTTTATTTAGTAAAATACCTTTATGATATAATCATTATTATTTATTATTAATTTAGTAATTCTCATTTTTGAGGACTTACTACGTGATCAGCTCTCTATTATATACTTCACATACCATCCTAAAACAGTTCTTCACAAAACCCCTATGAAGTGATGAACATTCTTCCCTTACAGATGAAGAAGTGTGGCACATACAGAAAAATTTTTGTACGATTAGAATTATTATTTTCTTTTAATTCTTATACAACTTGTTTTTTTTTATTGTTTAAAGTATTACACATAGTAGGACATATATCTCCCTCCCCTCTCCCCACATTGACCTTAGTACAACTTGTTGATAAAAACCATTTTGGCCTCAAGTTTTCTTCAAGGGAAGACTATTACCACTGATTCAAATTTTTTTAGTGTTTATAGAATATTCAAATTTTCTATTCTAGTTTTGGAAAGTTATGTTTTTTATATTTCATTTAAGTTTTAAAATTTATTGATATAATATTGCATAGAGTATTCTCTTATTACCTTTATAATATCTCCAGGATCTAGCACTATACCCCATTTTCATTGTTTTAAAATATTTTGTTTTGGCTTGGTGTCATCAGATCTATCAAAAATCAACTTTGATTTTCTTGTATTATTTTGAAATTATACTTAATTTTAATATATTTTGTTCTTTCCTCTCTAAGAATTATGATTAAATCATTTGTTTTCTTTAATCTTTTATATGCACTTAAGACAACTGTATCTCCTTATATACATTTTAAGTTAAATCTACAATATTTGTTAAGTGTTCTCACCAAAAAAAGAAATAATAATTATATGACATCATAGAGGTATTAGCTAAAGTAATGATGATAATCATACTGTAATATATAAATGTATCAAATCAATACATTGTACATTTTAAACTTATATAATGTTTATATGACAATTATATTACAATTAAAAATCTACAAGATCTGATAAATAGTATGTCTCAATATATTTAAGTTATAAGTGTTTTATAATTTTTATTATAATTTAATATTTGGCTTCTTAATAGTTTATACATATATAATTGGTTTTTAATTATGTTTCTTAGTTATAAATTTGTTATTGATTTGTAACAATAAATGTACAATTGTCTGATAATGTTATCTCTAAGACCAACCCTTTAACATTTAAACTTTAAGTTTTTCATAAACCAAAGGAGTGCTTCAAAATTGTATTAGAAAGCTATTCCCAGGAGGGGGGAAAAGGAGAGGAATGGGAGATATCTGTGATATTATCAACAATAAAAAATATATTAAAAAGAGAAAGCTACTCCTTACTGACATCACTTCATATAATACTATATGCATGGCAGGCACTTTATATAATGGAACTAATTTAACCTCAAAGAGCCCTCTGAGATAGGTCCTATTGTTATTGTCATCCCTATTTTACAGATGAAGTAACAGGCAGAAAGATCATAGACAATCTGTTCAGAGTAAAAGGTTCACAGATAGCAGAGCCACAATCCAAAACCAGCCATATGACATCTAAGGCCATGCTCTTAGTCACTAAGCTTTCTACAGGAGTTATAACCCCATTACTAATATCCTAAAATTTCCAAAGCACCTGTTTAAATGGTTTTTTTAAATGTCAATATACTTTCTTCTGTGTTTAAAGAGCCTGATGGGTTAATAATGAAAAGTGTATTATTCCTCTTTTATATGTGGGAAAATTGACTCGTAAAACCATTAGAGCTATTCAGAGGAAAATTTACCCAGGGTTGTGTCATCTAAATGGCTCACTATTTCTCTTGACACTGTGTTCAGTGTGGGTAGAAGGTAGTTTATTTTAATAGAAATTGAGATAACAACTGACTGAGAGATTTATTCTCTTCTCTGCCTACAGATTCTAGGATCATCAGTGCAATGACTGGGAGAAGGAACAGTACAATGATTATAAAGTTCATTCTCTTGGGATTCTCTGAATTTCCAAAGCTCACCATTGTCCTCTTTTCAATATTCCTAGGGATCTACCTGATGACAGTGTCCTGGAATATGGGCCTCATCTTTCTCATCAGGACTAACTCCAATCTGCACACACCTATGTACTTTTTCCTCAGTTACTTGTCCCTGTTGGACATCTGCTATGTTTCTACTACTGTCCCCAGGATGCTATCGGACTTCTTCAAGAAGCACAAATTCATCTCCTTTATGGGGTGCACCGTGCAATACTTCTTCTTCTCTGGCCTGGGTCTGTCTGAATGCTGTCTCCTGACAGCCATGGCTTATGACAGATATGCTGCCATTTGTAATCCTCTGCTTTACACAGCCATCATGTCTCCCACCCTCTGTGTGCAGATAGTGGCAGCATCTTGTGTAACTGGATTCTGTGGCTCATTTATCCAACTGTGTGCCTTACTTCAGCTGCATTTCTGTGGGCCAAACATCATCAACCATTTTTTGTGTGACTTGCCCCAGCTGCTAATCCTATCCTGCTCTGACACCTTTTATGTTCAAGTCATGCTGTCTGTGCTGACAGTAATCTTTGCGGTTTCATCTGCCCTCATTATTATGATATCCTATGGTTATATTGTTGCCACCATTCTGAAGATCACTTCAGCTGAAGGCAGGTCCAAAGCCTTCAACACCTGTGCTTCTCACCTGACTGCAGTGACCCTCTTCTTTGGTTCTAGTACCTTTGTTTATCTGTATCCCAATTCTGGTGATTCTCTGAGCCAAAGTAAGTTGGCATCATTATTATACACTGTTGTAATCCCTATGCTAAATCCATTGATCTATAGCCTGAGGAACAAGGAAATCAAAGATGCCCTAAACAGATGGAAGAAGAGAATCTTCTCCTGCTATTACTAATGATGAAATTCCTTTCAGGTGTACAGTGTAGGAAAATGTCAACTAAAACATTGACCTACAGCTCTTCTAATTGTGGGCTGAGTTACAGTTTTCTCGCTCTTCTAATGGAAACCCACAACTGGCACAGGGACAGGAAAATGCACGAGAAGTATCTGGCAGCTCAATCTGTCATCCTTCATCAGCTCTGACCTAATACATCAATAGGCCAAGCAATCCACAAGTATTTTTGCAGCTAGTAGAAGTGGTGTGCCCCATCACCCTCAATAGTCAATCCCTGCCTAACGAATACTACCTTAAGGACCACAGATGTCAGTACTGATCAAGGCTCTCAGGAGACCACCAGCCTCCTCAGCATCTCATTGTGTGTAGGGCAAAGATTGGTATTAGTACACAGAGATCTTTTTTAAAAAAGAATTACCTAAATAATTGTGTTAGTTCTCCTACTTAACCTATTTTTTATTTGTGTGATTTATGGATTAATTTCTTCACTTGTGAGTTTGTTCAAAGCAAATAACCATACCAGATAAAAAATTTGTCAACTTCACACAAAAAGAAATTTGTTGTAATAGGAATGCTTACACTTTGTAATATTTAATATTTGGTTGACCAATTGGCTCACTAGGTGTCCCTAGACAATTCTTTGTCTTCTATTGCTATAGCATCACCTTTGTTCTTCCATCTTCACTATGTAACTAGAAAAGGGAATTAGGAACTGGCACTGTAGGGCACATATCCCTGTGCAGAAGTTTATGATGAATGACAAAGAATCAGAGACTAAATAGTCATGATAGAGACTCAGTAATGAGACAGACCCTTGGACAAAACTGTGTGTTTCCCCTTCTGTACCTACATGTGATTAACATTTTTGCATTAGTCATCTTTTTAAAGACACAAGTGTACTTTATATGGTATTGTCTTAGGGGAAAATGGTCTGCATCTATTCATTATATTATACATTATGTTCTGGGTTTCTCAGCTGCTAACAAAACTGAGCACCATGATTGATAATGGAAGGGCTCTGAGATAAGGTGTTCGAAGAAGTTGTATTTTCTTTGCTGTGTTAGCAGAAGAGACTGGGGTTTAGTAGCTTATAGGATTCTGAGAACATGTTAAAAGCTCCTAAGCAGCACTGATTGCTGATGGTTTGCACTGTTTATCATTATACATCTCAATTATTTTATATTTTAAATGTGGAAGATAATGCTATAGGAGGGAAAATAAGATGGTGGCATAGGTAAACACTGGAAATTGCTGCCTCGCACAATCACTTCAAAAATACAACTAAAAGACATCATCCAGAACCACAGGAAGGCTGGCTGAGTGGAAATTCTACAACTAGAAGGAAAGAGAAAAGCACACTGAGACTCAGAGGAGGTGCGGAAGTAAAGCGCAGTGGTAAGGAGGTGCGCAGAAAGGGCTGGCAACTTAGGACGCGGTTGTCTTTTTCAATCAGGAGGGAGTCTCAAGCTCTGGATGGCTCTGAACTCCAGTTCCGGGCGAGTCTCTGGGGACCCAGACTCATACAGGGAGAAACTGGACTGTCTGGCATCGGGCGGAACTCGAGGGAGGCTTTCTCTCAGAGAGGCTGAAGCGATTACCTCGGGACACTGAGACCTGGGCCCTCTTAGGGCAGGACTGAGGATCAGCCATAGCTGTTTGCTCCACCCTGTTGATTCCCCGAGACCCCGCCCCACCCAAGCTGTGCCCAGAGGCTTTTGCATATGAATGACCTGGCCCTTTGCAATCTAAAATTACCTAATAAACTGCAGATGGGTCAGAGAGACCAAGAACATCAAAAAGAAGGCCCAAGGCCCCACAGCAGCTTGCATTGCTTAACAGCTGGGCCTACTCTGGGCACATCCAAACCCCAAACAAAGAAGAGGAATCTGCAGATCTCTCCATAGCTCCTGCTGGGTAGCCTCAGGCAGAGGCTAAATTAGCACCTCCTTAGAGATCCAAGAGCCAGTGTACCCAGTGGTCAGAGTGGGACCATCCAGATTACAACTCCTCAGATCCATAAGGGACACACTCAGGGGGCAGAAACAGTGAGCACCAAAGCCTCACTGAAGCAAGTCTTGCCCCAGAAGGGTGTCTCCATCACAGAAGTTCTCCCACCATAGACACAGCTGATTCTCACAGCCAATTGGACTGGAGGTCAATTCCTCCCAATGATACCAACTACAAAGAGGCTTAACTACAACAAGACTGTGCACACAGCCCACAAAGGGGTGCACCAAGAGTTTCCACCTCAGGTAATTGGGGAGGCTGAGCCACTGGGCCCTATAGGACACCTAGCACAGAAAGTCACTCTATCAACACAGGGAAGCAGCCAAAATGAGGAGACAAAAAAACAAGTCACAAATGAAAGAAATGGAGGAAAGCAAACTACTGGATATAGAGTTCAAAACCACGGTTATAAGGTTACTCAAGAATCTTCTAGAAACCGCCAATAAATTTAGTGAGACCCTCCATAAATCTAGTGAGACCCTCGAGGATATGAAAAAGGACCAACTAGAAATTAAGCATACACTGACTGAAATAAAGAATATTATACTGAGATCCAACAGCAGACTAGAGGATCCCAAGAATCAAGTCAAAGATTTGAACTACAAAGAAGCAAAAATCACCCAACCGGAAAAACAAAAGAAAAAAGAATCCAAAAATATGAAGATAGTTTAAGGAGCCTCTGGGACAACTTCAAGTGAACCAACATCCGAATTATAGGGGTGCCAGAAGAAGAGAGAGAGCAAGATATTGAAAACGTGTTTGAAGAAATAATGACAGAAAACTTCCCCTACCTGGTGAAAGAAACAGACTTACAAGTCCAGGAAGCACAGAGAACCCCAAACAAAAGTAATCCAAAGAGGACCACACCAAGACACATCATAATTAAAATGCCAAGAGCAAAAGACAAAGAGAGAATCTTAAAAGCAGCAAGAAAAAAACAATTAGTTATCTACAAGTGAGTACCCATACGACTGTCAGCTGATTTCTCAACAGAAACTATGCAGGCCAGAAGGGAGTGGCAAGAAATATTCAAAGTGATGAATACCAAGAACCTACAACCAAGATTACTTTATCCAGCAAAGCTATCATTCAGAATTGAAGGTCAGATAAAGAGCTTCACAGATAAGAAAAAGCTAAAGGAGTTCATTACCACCAAACCAGTACTATATGAAATGCTGAAAGGTATCCTTTAAGAAGAGGAGGAAGAAGAAAAAGGTAAAGATAAAAATTATGAACAAATACATATCTATCAACAAGTGAATCTAAAAATGAAGTGAATAAATAATCTGATGAACAGAATAAACTGATGAATATAATAGAGTCAGGGGCATAGAAAGGGAGTGGACTGACAATTCTCGGGGGGAAAAGGTTGGGGGGGTGTGGGAAGAGACTGGACAATAATGGTACACCTATCGATGAAGACATTGGGGGAGGGGCGTTAAAGTCATAGGGTTGGGTGGGAACCGGGTGGAGAGGAGCTATGGGGGGAAAAAAGAGGAACAACTGTAATAATCTGAACAATGAAGATTTAATTTTTTAAAAAAGATAATGCTATATATACCTGTATCACATTTTGCATAAGTGCCCTAATATTTTATTTCAGTGAATGAAAGTAGATGTTTATAAGTGAAGATAAAAGTGAGGTTTGGAAAGGTTCCTAAGTTTCTTAAACTGAGACACATGCAGCGTAGTGGATCGATGGACAGCTTTGCCTATGAAAGAGCAGCTTCAAGAAGGTTAAGTTAAGTGAAAGAGGCAGGCACAAAGGACCACATGTTGTATGATTCCATTTTAATTAAACGTTCAAATAGGCAGATCTATAGAGACAGAAAGAAGATTAGTGGTTGCCTAGGAATGAAGAGGTGGAGAGGAATGGGAGTGACTGCTAGTGGGTATGGAGCTTCTTTTGATGAAACTATTCCAAAATTAGGTTGTGGAAATGATTGCAAAATTCTGAATATGCTCAAAGTTACTGGATCATATGCTTTGAAAGGATACATTTTGGAATATGTGAAGTATACCTCAATAAAGCTGTTTAAGAAAAAAAAAAAAGGAAAGAGGCTGGGCAGGTGTATAGGACCAAGGGTGACATTCATGGGAAGGCACCATGTCTATTGTGGGTATTCCTTAGTGATTTGATAATGAAAGAAAAAAAGGAAGTGAGCCATGGAGTTTAAAGTTCCTTAGAAAATCAAAAATCAAAAATCAAGTAAAACATGAACCCATCCGTCTTCCTGAGGGAAGTAATCATATACAAAACAAACTTCCCTTCCCTATATCAGCAAAAAATGATACACTTAAACTAACTAACCTACTAAACATGCATCCTTGTTTGACTCCATAGCCCTGCACAGTCTCATACCTCAGGTTCTGTTAGAACTGACCAATATTGTCAGGATTCTTGCAATTTTCTCACCCATTGCGCTGTGGCATGGTCCAGATAGATCATTTATCAATAGGACACTTGATGAACAAGTAGATGTTCTTGGGACAGGACTGAGCCAAATGCAGAATTTGGGAGGAGGAGAGGGCAGCAGCCCCTTTTTGTGAGAAGTAGAAACGAAGAGATTCACTATACATTTCTTCTTAATAGTCATTCTCTTTCTGCATTTGCAGTACAGCTTGACTTGTATTGATTAGAGTTATATATGGATTACTAGAACTATATTACATGACTATAAAGATGATCAAATTAACCAATTAATATGATGTGGCAAATTGCCAAAAGCCAATTCCAGCATGTCAGCAAGGGCTGAATCATCTGGAGTGGCTGAAGGGCATTTCCCCAAACCTGAAAAGCATGCAAAAATTGATTATCTTGCTGCCAGACAGCTCAGGGCATCTTAATCTACATGTTATTGCCTCCTACTGGCCAAACACCTGAACAGCCGTAGGCAAATTCTCCAATCTGACAATGGACTCTGTAAATGAAACTAGACCCTTTGATGTGTATAACGCTGCCTCACCTCATGACAATTTGTGTTAATAAAAAG